TAACCTATGGGGCTTAGTGGAAGCGGAAAACACAATGGCGATGGATATTTTTCGCTGCCCATTCGGAGGATGGGGTAGTGTTCAAGACTTCTCACCTCCAGCTTTTGCACACTATAATATCAAGAGCATTTACTTGAGTTCTTTTTACGCAGCTTTGTGGCACGTAACATCATCTGTGCATGATTTTCGATTGCAGTGAATTGCGCATCTGCGATCACATAAACCACAGGGACGTTCTGGTGGAGCTGCAGCTCATTGGCAGCAAACCAGTGAGCAGCGGGTGTACTCTTCCACCGTTGAACTGCGACCTAACCATTTACTACTACAGCTTTAGATAGCTTATCGTGTTGTATCAAGTTTTCTGATAATCGTAAATGTCTGAGGAGAATTCTCGAAAAGAGATCTCTTCGCAGCAACTTTTAACGTATGAAGGGGCTAATACACGAATTAAAGAAACGCAAGCAGCCCACTGCGTTCTCGAACCTTAACAAATTGTTGAAGTTTAGCGCTAAGCTTGCAAATGCGAAGACAGAGATTCGATTCATAAAGGAGTGCATACAACACAATCAGTATCCAGCTTGTTGACCTTCCGTTGAACTGTGACCTAACCATTTACTACTCTGCGCTTAGCGCGATATGCTTAAAACCCATCAAGTGTTGGCTGTTTTCCCAAGAGTTGATGGCCACTTGGCTCCCTTCAATCTCCAGCGACGCCATAGTCGGGCTGATTCTGTTGACGTTTGACTCCGTAGATGATTGAGATGAGTTTCACCCAATAAGTACATGTGACATCATGAAACCCAGCTAAGTGTATGAGGGGGTAAGCCAAGCTTTCTCTTATCCTTTTGTTGCTTGTTCTATTCAGCTGATTAGTTGTGTCCGACATACATTTGATTATGATAGTTATTCGGTAGCCTCATTGGTGATTGCCTTAGTTAATACGTTGGATTTCAGCGATTTGTTTCATGTTTCTGGTTCACATTCAGCCTTGTTAAGTATGTGGAGCCATTTATGCTCCACAACACTAAGGATTTCCCATCGGCATTTGTATTCGGCTTTTTTACTGCAGATATCATCGCCACTTTTCTTACCTTTAAAGTCGAGGATTTTGCCGCGATGTCTAAGTCTTGTCCACTTTTCCTTACTGGCGTGTTGCACATTCTTTCCACCAGATATTCTGTGCTATTTTTTCGACACTAACGTCTCATGTTACCCCAATGAAATGTACCCCCTTACGGGCTTTGATGATGACTACCTTATTGTGGCATTCAACAGTGTACTGTCCCTAACCATAGGTGCCGCATCCACCCCGATTTGTTTGTATTTCCGAACCGTCTCGTCCGCCACGCGTACCCCTCGAGCAAAGAAGTACATTGCCAGTGTCTTATTCATGTGGCCACTTCGGACTCATGGTCTTTTGAATGCCATCTACGACATTTCCTGAATATTTTTTCTAACCTCTGAGTTGAAGTGCCAGAATCCGCAAAGCAAGCTCTTATTTTCGCATCTCTCACATGAAATCTGATGAGGAAATCACTTGAAAACCTCTTACGTCGCTTGCTTTAAATATTTTCGGAATCTGCTTTGCTATTCTCGCAACTGGGTGGCTTTCTCTCATTAACATAATTCGGAATTCATACTTCTCATATCATTGAAACTTTTCTCTTGTTGTTGAGCATCCAATTCTTACTACAGAACTCGTTCAGATGATTTGCATAGTGGAAGTCCATCGAACGGAGGATGCTTACATCCAGGTTTCTCGTCATCAACATGTTTTGTAAACAATACTCAACAGCCCCATGGTGTAGAACGTTTGGCTTCCAATTCAGAGAGTTCTGGTCATCAACAAGTATGTTTTTCCACCGGACATGATCTCCTTTACAGCCTTGAACAGGGTATTAATGTCAACCCAGTAGTTATCAAATTTCCAGATTTCTATATCTTGATTGGTTATTTCTAGTGGCTTTTATTGGTACCTGGACTGTTGTGTTCTGTGTTTTCGCCCTGGAACATATTTTCGAGAAATTGGTAGAGGAACGAAATGTTTTCCCTAGTCTACATCCATTCAGTTTATTTATTTGTTAGGTGAGACTTGTTTCCAGAAACATAACCTCTCGAACCCTAACTTGAACACCCAATGAATTGCCAGATAGTCGAACAAATACAATACCCCACTTTTCGTTCAAGGCTTTAGTGATTGTCGCTGACAGTTATCCACTAGGCGGATCATCGCTTAGCGTCATTTCATTTTGCAGTAATCGGACAATCTGTCTGCATGCACCTTTCGGAGTAGCCATCGGTGTTGCATCAGTTTCACAAGGCAACCTCTATTCTGTGATCTCGCGTAACCCTGCGCGGATTTTTTGCTAATGTCCCATTTTACCTAGTCCACTTGAGCTATATGTTGTCAGCACTCCCGCAGAAGAACCTAAATGGCCAATGTACCTCAGGGAGTAACGTAACTCGTTTCATCGAAGTACTCATTGATCTCGTTCACATACACTTCTCCTATAAAACTTCTTATGCTGGTTATTATCAATGTGAGTGAGAATAACTATGGGAATATTAAACTGTGATACACCTTTGTCTTAAGCATAGATATTTCAACACAACAGAGAGTTTCTCACCTATGCGTCTGTTTGTTTCCAGAATAATTACCAGGATTTATCTGAAATTCTGTCCGCTTTGTCACCTCCATTAGCACAGAGTGAATGAGTCTATCGCTTCATCTTAGTTACAAGCCGAATATGTCATTTTGCACGCCTCTGATTGGCAATCACAATCTCTTCCGTTTTGATCAGTTCATTCTAAATGGACTCGAACCATGATTGTATAAAAGAGCAACCAGCTGCACGCGTGCATGTGGTAATATACTAAACCCGTGTACAATGCCCATTTATTGTCCATCACAAGAGCAAACGCGAACAATTTCTTTCGGTTTACTACATAAATGAAGACCAAGATCAATCGAGAGTATGGAGATTAACTATTGAGTAAACAATATTAGACCCCACTCATGATACGCGTCAAATGATTGAAGGCACGTGACACCGCTGGGTGAGCTCAGGCTTATCTCATTTCCCTGCTCTCCACAGTATTTGCAGTGGGTGCACGAGCTTATTCTGGACGCGTATATTTGGTTCTGTCAACTTGACGCATACCGTCTCAAAGGTCTCAAGCAGCCTTGCTCCTGATCGATCCTATAATCTCGAATTTAATCTGCGCATAATGTCGCAGACATTACGTTAGTCGGTTTGGTATACGTTTTCTTTCCTCGTATCTATACGTAATCAGATAGCTATCGCACACCCGGAAACGCACTGCTATTGTCCTCCAGTAGATACTACATTCGGTGTTTTCCTGTTCACGAGCCGGAGCGTCTGGGTAATCGCTTCCTCTGTCCTCCCACACGAGCTTTAAAGAGCACTCCTTTGATGTCGACGAAACACTCGGCCTTGGCGTTGGACTGGTGATGATAAGGCGGTGAACGGATGAAGTGATGGTTTCAAATATTCCGCGAACATCAAAGAAGTAAATCGAGAACCTTCTTGTTGCTAACCCAGTAGAATTTCCCCACGTGTGTTCGGACCCAATCTCTGTCACCATTTGATTCTGCATGCCAATCCGGTTGAATTAATCTTTTCCATTGTTAGCTCCGAATCCCATCCAAGATCAGAAGTCAACGCCTGAAGGCAAAAGCCTGTTACGGCAACAGGCGCAAATAGTATGATCTGAACGGGTATTTGTAGCTCAATTCAAGAGTGTTCGTGTTCCAGTACAGTCAGATCAGGTGATCTGATTGACAGTCTAGTTCAGCTAGCCAATGACATGGTAGGTACGCGCATCATGTGGTGAACGACATTATTCCTGAAATGACTTGATGCTCCGGCTGCACATCATCGACTCAAAGCGTTTTCTTAATGAAATAATGACTCTTAGGGATTCTACCGTCAAATTGCGGTTGACCGCATCTCTCAGGGCCCCTGTCCTATTTGACAGTTTTTAGACAGTGGTAGCGAATACTGAGTAGTGTGGACGGCGTACCGAAGATTTCGTTGAGTTGTGACACCGCCTCCTCAAAGCTGAGATCTTTTGATTGTTTCAGCAGTGTGTGATTAACGAACACTTGTACCAAGTTTGCTGACCAACAGTCGAACTTCCCAGGTCTCGTTCTGACGGCTGAAATCCATTCTGAGCATATTTTCTCAGCATCTGAACGACGCATCCGGAATCAGCGTCATAATTGAATTCATTGATGGAAGTAAAGAGGAGATCGACGGAAATTCCCGAAGTGTTTTACGAAGCTGCTTCTGAAGACAGCAAATTTAAAGGCTGCATCAAAGTTTCGACCGGCTTCAATGGTGTTTGCTGTTTCCGTAGTAACCTTTGGAATCGCAGAAACATTCATTGAATTTCCAGATTTCTCCATTGACGGTTAGTTGATCATACCGGAATGCTCTGAAAACCAAAGATCGGTGGCAACGGCTTGTGGTAAGTCAGTAATATGGAATGCCGATCATGCAGCATCTTATGAAACATCTTGACTGCAAAGAGCATGGCCAGGGCTTCCTCGACCTGCTCGTAGTTCTTTCCTGCGGACGTCAGCGTGCGTAATGTATGTATGACAGCTTTCTCAGAACCATCTGGGAAGCAGTAAGGACTGGTCCGATTCCATTATTAGAGGCATCAGTAGCGATCAAGGCTGGTAAAGTGGGGTCGTAATATGTCTGTAGTAGGTTAGAATATGACGGAACATGATTTCATGCGGACGTATCTCCGTGCCGGAATTGTGTAAATGGGAGAGTTGGTTATTTGGACAGAGATTCTGCGGTCCTGTCGGGATATGCGTTCTCACGTTGACTATACATGTGGCGCGATTGTATGTACATCAAATTGATAGATGTGATGCCTTCGTTACCATCGAAACTATAGGATCGATCACGAGCAAGGCTGCCTGCGACCGCTAAAACAGTATACATCAAACTGACAATAGCACATCTATGCGCCCAAAAAAAGCTCGTTCACGCACTGCGAATACCGTGGAGAGCAGACAAATGGGACAGGCAGGAGCTGGCTCAATGGTGCTACGTGTCTTCAATCATCTGACGCGTATAGTGAGGACGGTTCAGTATTGTCAAATCAATGGTTACTGTCTGTACTCTTGTATGATCTTGGCATTTCACAACGTTCATTTATGTAGTAAATGATGATAATCACTGATGATGAATACGTCGAAAGCAACTTTTCGCTTCAAGCCCATTATTTGCATATATCCCCACTAAATGTCTGTGAAATCGAGATTCAGAGTATCATTTTCCTTTTAACAGCGATTCTGTTGCTCATTGTCACTCACCGTTGTATTGCTTCTTCTTTTTTTGCAGATCCGCAGTTACGAATCCAAGTTTGTGAAACCAGAGGAGACTTTTGACAATGTAGTTAGCGAATACGCGCAATCGTCGTACTTTTCGGAAACAGCACCACACACAGCAACCGGGAGTTTGCTTTTTCCTTCGACCGGTAAGTTTTATCCATTGCACATAGCTCGCCGTTGCTGTTGACATTAGTATTCGATTATTTGGTGAACGTGCTACTGGGTTCGACTGATCTCTTATGCCAACACGTGATCTCACTGTACTACGCAAGTTCATGGTTTACACGTGAACACTATAGCACAGCGCACTTTCATCATTGATTGTTATCTGTTCATCCGTGGTACAGTTTAGAAGAAGAAGTGTATATTCTCGTCTACGAAAGACTGAACCAGAGAGCCAGATGGACAGAAGCGTCATGCTCACGCATGAGGTTTTCAGGTGTTATTTGTCAGATTCGTGTGCACGCTTTTGCGATAGACATACTACAAGCTATCCACATATCCACTGATATCGAGTGTCTCGAACCTATCTCATCATCATCATCATTATACACGTTAGCTAGAGATGGGAAACATCTCAGCTTTTGTGCCGCAATGCATGTGAAAGGAAAAATGACGCAACGCAGACACACCAGTTGAGCCTCCAATAACGGATAGACATCGTTTCGAAGAGCTAGTAGCTGGCTATCGTGCTACCGAATCTCTCACCCTTCCTTCACAGCGTCCCAACAGTTGTTCGACCCTGTGTTACGTTTGCATGTATCTTCATTGTAAACATACTTAGTGCCTGAGCAATTCAAGTCTAAATAGGCTTTATGGACCTACCTGGGAACATTTAAAGCATTTTACGACATCACTACAGATGCAACATGTGCACAACACTAATCTAGAATCACAATCAATAGGTAAAATATAGAATATGCATGTACGTCACTCAACTAAACGTTCGCGCGTGAAATTGATAATTTACTTAGAGTCCACAAGAAAAGGATACATAAAGTAAGAGTTGTAGTAAAATGTTTCTTGTGAAAACAAAACTAAGAATTTTGGTTCCTGTAGGCGAACAGAGGAAAGCTTTTGATAAATCATCGTGGAGATGGTGGGAAAGGTCATTTAAAATTTTTACTGAAAAATTGCTACTCGCAGAAAAATGATGAAGAAAAACGATGAAGTCAACCATATACTCTGGACAATCGACCATACTTGGAGCTGAGATTAAAAGAATGCTGAATCAGTTTGAAACTTTTTGTAAAAGGCCAATAACATGACAGGCGAGCAGCACAGCCAGTGGGGAAGAATACAGGCAGTCACGAATGTATAAACTAAAGAGCAGGGAAGTTGGAGTATTTTGAGTCTAAGTGCATAAATGATACTCCCACCTTGCGGAACGTCTGGTCAAGGTTTATTGGTCATGTTAGATTATGACATAAAAATGTACCAGGGTACTTAACGGTAGGTGTAGTGGATTGTATATGGTCGCTCATGGCCATAGGGCAAGATATATTTGTCAAAGTCAGAATTTTGTCAGTGAAACGTTCGGAAGTATGAAAATAAGGGATCTTAACGATGACCACCGATGAAGCTCATCCAATTCGCTTTGGAGAGCAATTCCACCTAGAACTACGTCGTCAGCGCACTTACATACAATGAAGTTTGGAAAAATTGGAAATATTTCCGTATATGGAGAGAACGGAAATGGTAAGAGATTGCTTCTTGTAAAATCCTCCAGTCATCACGAGGAGTGTAAGATTATATCACTGTTTAGCTGGGTAAAATGATAACGATTTATGAAGTAGTTACTCATCAGGTTGCGCACTGCTGTTTGAACGCCTTTCTCAGACAGCAAATTAAGCAGAATTGACCTGTCGACACTTCAAAAAGTGTTGGAATAATCAAGGGAAAGAAACCGCACAGTCTTGCATTTCGCATTCCTTGGACAAGGTATGCTACGGCATCCAACGTGGAATGTCGTTACTTGCAGGCGAACTGAAATACGTTTTCAACCGGAGTGCCTGTTGAGATTTAAGTCACAAGTAGTCACTCTAATATTAGCTTGGTAACAAAGTTATTGCTTTTTTTAATCTTAACTTAGCCCTAAACGTATCTTGGCTCAAACCTAATATTTTTATTCGAAATAAAAACCATATGAATTGACGCACTTTTGCCAACGGATGAATAAAATTTCGGAATGCTAGTAGCGATGAAATCGCCGATGGCGGTTTCAGCATCTTGGGTTTTAAAACTTTTCTCTTTGAGGAAGTTGTCTAGGTGCAGCTTCCGCAGGGCTGTTTGCGCGACATGCTGACGAGCCTTAACACGAAGAAGAAATGGTCCCTTTGCGTTGACCAGTGCCGGACACATGTGTTGAAGTTTTCGGTACATCTCGACAATTTGTTGACAATACTTCTCCCCTGTAATGGTTTCCTCTGGATTCCGAAAGCCGTGATGGATCAGACCAGACGCAGACCACCAGTCACCATAACTGCAATTTCGGCTTTTAAAAATTGCTGTGGAGCTTGATCGTGGTCGAGCCACTGAAAGCTTCGTCGTCGATTGTCTTAAAGTACACTTTTTATCACGTCTCTTGGCTAGAAACGGGTCGTTTTTATAGCGCAAAACAAGAGCAGACGAGATTTCAAAACGATAATTTCTTTTATTTTCATTCAATTCTTGCGGCACACATTTATCAAGCTGGTTCGACATTCCATTCTCCCGTAAATGTTTTACAACTGTCACATGCTATACTGCTAAGCCAGCAGAAAGATCTCGAATAGTTTTACGCGGGTCCGCTTTAACTAAAGCCTCTAATTGATCGTCGTTCATCTTCACTGTCCACCCACAACGCTCTTCATCTTCAAGCATATCGTAACCTTTTCGAAATTTTTGTTATCACCATTGTGCAGAACGGTTATCAATGTTTCCAGCACAAAATGCACTGTTGATGTCATGGACTGTTTCCCCTGCATTTCGGCCAAGTTTAAACCGGGAAAAAATTGTGCGAGTTTGTCTTCTGTCCATATTGCATTCAATGTTCTGTAAGTATGTAAAAACGTGTTTCTAAGCTAAACTATCACTATTGCTAGATCGAGCACAAAACAAAGTCAAAGCAATTGATTAAAAGCTGTCAAAAACGCAGTTGTTAAAATAAACATACCAAAAACCGCACTTACTTTATTACCAACGTAATAATCTCAGCATAACGGACGGAATTTCAGGGATTCCTTTGGCACGGGTGTTATCCTGACAGGCTTTCAAATATCAAGAATAGTGCCACCATATTGGCAATGATTGAGAAGATCATTCAGCGGCTTAATTAGAAGATCGGTACATTCCGTCAAGATAATTGGTGCGACAGTTTGATGACTAGTTTTGCGGACTGCGTGTTCGGTCTGCGATGACAGGATCACAGGAAGGGGACACACCGATCTAGTCGTGGATAGTATACATAATCTCACGTGCCACATCATCGCCGATTGACTAAAAATGTCTCCTGTTCAACCCATTGACGCCTAATGCCATTCCTTAAGTGCTGAAATACCACAATAGACCTCGATCTTAGGATCATCCTCATGTGAGCTTGATGGAAGCAGTTGACTTCGTGACCTCAGCACAGTAGCCATGTGAAATAACCTATCATGAGTTATAGACTCAGATCAGGTAACTAATAGACACTAAGATACAATCTTTCAAAAACTACTCGCGTTTGACCTCTGTTTCAGGAAACACAATGAATACAATTTAGACGCCAAAATGAGTCGTCCCAAATTTTCCACATTCGTTAGTGCTGTTTCATTCATAATCAGCAGACTATACAATCATACTTCGATGTAAGATAAGATCCCCAACCCCTTGCTATTCTGACTAACCGTCAGATGTTTGGAGCCGGAAACTTGGAACGAAATCGAGCCCTTGGACTCTGCAGATGGAAGATTCAAATGCACGTAAAAGTCAATCGTCCATTTTCCATCTTTTTCGCCCCCATCATCACCTATGTTACACATATCTTCTTCCCAATTAAAAATACTAGAGGTCATTGACGCTCTTATCCTGGGTCCGTTGCTTCTACTATTTACAATTATGGATTATTCTAACTCCTTTGTTTTCTCCCTTTTCTCTTCTCTTGTCTTTTGTTTTATCAACGCAACGGGTGGCATGGTAGTTGCATTCATTGCGCTCCCTTTACCCACGCATTGCCGCCGCACTAGACATTCACTATTCACACACTCCGTACAACTCGTTGTTCAAAGATCTCTTACACCTACGCCTGTAGTTGATACAACAGCTTTTCCAGTGGCCCCCAACCTGTGCATTTGTTTTTTGGACTAAAAGTTGTACCTCGTCAAAAGATGCGCTTACTTTTTCTGGATGCAAAAACTTTGTGATTGGATTCATCTTTTCTGTGTTTGCACTTGTTTTCACAGCTTTGGATCAAGAAGCACCCATGGTGAGAGATGATCACTGTGGATATGCTGACACCTGCTTCCAGGACCTCTTCAATGACGATCACGCGGTTCGACAAGGGTGTTTCATGGACATGCTTCAGGAGGACATTAGCAATATGTAACGTGTGTGGGAACAAAAATTCAACATATTCCATCTATCAATGATAGCATAACACCCTTACCTTTATTTGCTGATTTCGGACCATGAAATGTTACTCGATCTATGCCCACCAAACCATCTTGTTATTTATGCTATGGCAAAACTCACTAATAAGAAAAAGGTTAGGTCCTTGTTTCATGACTGCAGCAAGGCTGAGCTTAACGTGCGAGATAGCTAATAATATAGCTATTTTACCCGTTTTATTACGTCTTTGGCTTCTACACCTGTCGATTTGTGTCTGGTACTCTCAAGCCTTGGTGCTTGAAAAGACACTTAGGAAACAAAAACTCAAATCGAAACTATTTGCTTTCAGGGGGTTAAAGACTCACCAGTTTATTCATTGAAATAGACCTCACGTAATACTTCCTCCCATATTCGTCTTAACTGTGCTTCACTGGAAGAGTCATTGGGCACTAGCTGAGTAGCGGCTATTAAGCCTAAAGAATCAAAAAAGGTCTTGGAAACTGTGGGATTGGATGCAACATTTTATATGTGCACGTCATTCCACTCGATGAGCGCAGTATATGATTTCCGCAGTTATATGCAACCAAGCTATGGCAATACCTGGAAATCTGAACTCGCATGCTTCTAGGCCATCTTTGTCGGATTCCTCGAGTCCACTGCAATTTTAAGGTTAGATTCCTTTGGTATGCTCTCTAAAACGACGTAGAGGCGCAACTTTGTAAATGCCTGCACTTCACCAAGAGAGGTTTCTTGTATTAGCGGCATACACTCCCACGGATTGCATCCACCACTCGGGTATAGTTCTGTTGTCAGCTCTCCCATATTCCACATACAAAACGATGGCCGGATATCTTAATGCATGCTAGGGATTTGAAGGCGCAGGTCAGTCGTTTCGCAAGTGATTAACGCGAACTCAGTGGTCAGCACGGTCGTGTTACTCACAAAACAAATAACGGTGATGGTCTCCTACAGCTCCATGTCGATCACGGCTTATTTCTCTCGAATACTAATTTTCAACGCAATCGGCGCCAACGCGTCACCTGGTGACCGCTTCACCTGGACTGTCGTGAATGCCGACTGATCATATCGCGACTGGTAACTGTTGGTGAGAGTGTATAATTGTCTGCAAATATTTTTGGCTGGTACCTTTGGCTGTGCTCATTTAGGAGCAGTTCAACTAGCCACCATCAACTTCAAGTTCCCGTTCATATATCCACGGTGCTCCTCGGTATGTAAGCACCCCACTACTGTCCACATTGGTTCTTGCATTCGTATGAAGAATTGGGTTTAGTGATTAATATTTATCCCTGGAGTCCAAGTACTTTACGTTTCCTCGCTTTGAAGTGCAGTTTGGAATCTCGGGGTTCAAGGTTCAACAACTTTCGTCGTAAGTGTCCACATGTCGGCTCATTCGTGTAAAGTGAACAATTCCGGCAAATAACTGACTAGCGATTTTCATGATGTTGATACTACATGTTTTGTTTTACATATTAGTCGCGAGAGTGAGTGTAGCTATATTTCCCACTGTTCCTCCGTCGTACTGTACTTAGGTGCGCTTAGGCAGCTGTTATCTAGGTAAGAGGCGTAAGGGCAAAGGTGCCTGCTGGAATTTGCATTAGAAATGACTAATCCTCTGGATTGACCTAGAAGTAGGTAAGTTCAACTGTGGTGGTACGGCTGTGCTTTAGTACATATTTAATTGAAAAGTAAATCCACGCAAAGAAACAATTGATTTGTAGCGCAGAATGGCTACAACCGAGATGTATGGTGACAGATTGTTAGTAAATAGCTTATCACCACATCTGCCAACGGTTGAGTAATTGGATGTTATGCAAGCTATTTCTTGTAAATTGGCTAAAACAGTTTGAGCACTTTTTCGAAAGCCGAACGTAGGACAGGACGCAGCGGGATTTATCACATGTATTATTCCTGTGATCACGTCAAAGAGGCCATCAGAGAATATGTGATATTATCGCGTTTTAACGCATATAGCAGACGGCATTTACAGCACACAATAACGATAAGACATCATTGTTCAACTGTACCTCTTATTTATGCAGCATTCTATCTGCCGAATTGATGGCATTTGCTTCCTTATTCCTTTTATCTGTCTCTATCTATTGTTGACGCCCACACTTCGGACTACATTTAAGGTTGCCATTTAGATTCCAGTTCAAGCGTTAGCTAAACACCGACACTCGTGTTGGTTACTTACGTGCGATTTTCCAAAACTGTGGAATATGGCTGTTATTCTTACATTCAATACCAACTCATGCACGTTCGCAGTGTTGTCGTACATATGGGTTACTGTTTCTCCATTCCGTTTGTGCAAATGTGAACAGATGCCCTCTCGCAACACTGTAGTACTGCAACTCGAAACCGGGACCCTTGATATGTCAACTGATATCTATACTCGCAGCGGGCGATGCTCGCCACCATGTTGTATGGTTAAGTGGAAACCTGTTAGAAGTACTTGCAAGCGCCACACTTCAACTTGACAGGCTGATCGCATTTTCACTCGCGTGACACCATTATCTGCTAGTTCGACGTCTAAATGGGACTGGACTAAATTACAAGTCCCGCTAACATCTGTTCGTATCTCGATACATTCCCACTTGACAGATGGATCTTATTACATTCCATCTCGCGTGACACCCCATGACATTGCGGGTTGCAGTGAGGTCAATATAGCCTCTCTCTCAAGTGCCTCTATATGCCTCATTGTACTGCTGCCGCCTTCAGGTAAACGCACTGAGATTCAGACAAGTCATCAATGTTGATTCCGGAACAGCGGCAACACGATGTGACATCCAAATCGAAATGTGTGTGCACAGGTAGCATTCTAAGCACCGAGCAATTGATTGATATGCTAGCGCTCAGAACGAACGACCAGGGGGAAATAAATAGTAACACACGACGAACTGCCTGGTGGTTCTACATCCCTGTTGATTCTCGCACACCACCTCGGACAAGAGACGACCGGATCGGCTCTGGTTTACTTTCCGACACTGATAGCCTGCAGTTAAGGTAGGAGACGGCATTCATAGTACGCACCAACGATAGGTCATCACCGTTCCACTGTGCTTCTGCTTCTTGGTTAAAGTGAGCATAGCTATAAATCCCGTTCTCTCACCGCGGACTTTACGTCAGCCGAGATTATAAAAAATCAGTAGACTGAATCGCTACATTTCCCTACTAACTTGTAAAGTTTCTTACTCCATCTTCGTCATCTTCTTTGTGTCATCCTTATTCTATCGCTCATGTAAGTCGCGCTTGGGTACAGTTTCACTAGAACGGTTAACTACTGACTTGGTGCAATGTAGTATCTTTATTGCACATGCTTAAGACGGATGAGCCACATCTAACCTACCTTTATTGGGATTACTTAACTCGGTTGTATTTCGCGATTACTTCACGTGTAGACCACTACACTGCTGTAATCGTCATGACCTAGATACCCTTGTTACCTTAAGTGGATTCTAGTTCGTTCACATACCGAGACAGTGAGCTACGGCGTCTTTCTCTTCGTATTATTATTATTATTATTATTATTATTATTATTCAGCCGCGATTCATATCACTATGTAAGCTCCATGGTATTACTCACCAGACTATGCTATCTACATTCTGCTCCTTGAAATCGATTTGTAGATTACATAACCCCAGCTTGACCAGCTGCTCAATGCTAAGTATCATGACGCTTAGAGAGCCGGTGCATCGCAGAATAATGGTTTAGTCCATCCATGACCTCATTCGTATTTGACGTGCCCGCGGAGTCTCCGAGCGAATTGTGTTGTTGACACGGATCAGTGCTAGAGTGGCAAATTACTGAGTATATTTCCAGTTCGGTGGTAAGGCGTGAATCACGAGCTACCAGCGCTTAGCCGCTTGCAGTACCCATAAAAAGTGTGAAGTTTGACATTTGGAACACAATGCTCAACAATTATCCCTCTTGTGATCATGTTGGAGTATGCAGCCGAAGAGAAATTGCCCTGGAAATTCCATGGGAAGTTAACAATCCTGACGATTAGCCGACTGGCGATTATCATGTTGTCGACAGTTCATGTTCCGCTCCGGTTGGTGATGAGAGTGAGCATAGTAATATTTTTGTTATTCATCAGCCCTACTGAATATACCGGGTTTTATGAAAACGCAAGTACTAAGCGGATTGAAGGCGGAAGCGCAGAGACGCCTACCAAAATTAAATTGAACATCACCAATCGTCTGGATAGACTAAGAAAATGGTAATGCCAACGGGAATGGTACGTCAGTGTCGTAGTATATTACATCGAAAAGGAATCGGCGCATAGCGACAATCGTTTTATGAGCACCAAATGGCTGCACCCGAGACGTACGATGCGGATCGTTACCAAATATCTTATGGACACACCAGAGTAAACAGCGGTATGCACAAACAGTTGAGTACTTGGATGACAGCGATGCTATGTCTTGAACATTTGCAAAACAATGCGAACACTGTTTGGAAAGCCGATGTTTGACAGTGGGCAGTCCGATTTATTTGATGTAGTACTGTGGTGGTTGCCCTGCCTACGAGGCCGTAAGCGGCGAGTATGTGGTATTGCCACCTGTCAATGCTTATGGGTGCGCAACAATCGTTCTTTGGGAATCTGCACGTACCTCGGGCAGCAGATGGCCGGATCAGTCGGCGACACGGAAAGCCTGATGTGAACACCCCATCGCACACTGCGATCTCCCCCATCAGCTACGCAAACCAGACTGTACATATAGGCGACAACACCTAAGTACACACTAGTTTACTGTATCACTATTTATCATTCTACCTGGTAACCGTACTGATGGCAGTTGCTTCACTATTCCTATATCGGTTTCGTTCAAATATTGATGCCCAAGATTTAAGGCTGTCATTTATGTTCACGTCTAAATGTTAAAGAAAACACCAACAGTTCGTATTGGGTATTTATTCTCATGCTTGCGAAAGTGGCTGTTAGCCTGACCTCCAAACGAAACCTATACACG